CTGGCAGTATATATATATATTATTGAATTCAAACTATTTAAATTTCTTTATTGTCAGAAAATTCATACTTTAGTCACTAAAGAATGTTTTATCATTTCTGACAGCTGCCAGTAGGCGTATGTTACCTTGCCTGACAAGCTATCTTGTTTATTTATAGGACAAAGGCTGTGATATATCATCAGGTATGTATTGAATATACTGTATATTATTACAATCTACAGCTTGTAACAATGAAACTCTTTAGAGTTATTGAGTTATTTAGAGATATTGGGTAACTTTTAAGTATAATTTAATGTAATACAATAATACCTTGCCTATGGTGTTTTGATACCTAAAACCCAGATACTTCTATAACTATCAATTATATGCATAAATTTGTAAGATCAAAATTTTGAATATTGATGAGACCACACTATTTTAATCATTATTTACAAGATGACTGTATTTATATATAGCATCAACTTTTAATGATCTTTGATTAATGCCAATGATATTGTAGACTGTATTACTGCTGTTCATCCATTAACTGATAGTGATATTCCTGTCTATTATACTGAGCAATCTATACAATTAGATAATACTGCTGCTAGACAAGATTCTCATGTTGGTAAGATAACAGAATTTTATATTCATATTACTTCTATATAACTCATTATGCTGGTTAGATAACAGAATTTTCTATTCATATTACTTCTATATAACTCATTATGCTGGTTAGATAACAGAATTTTCTATTCATATTACTTCTATATAACTCATTATGCTGGTTAGATAACAGAATTTTCTATTCATATTACTTCTATATAACTCATTATGTTGGTAAGATAACAGAATTTTCTATTCATATTACTTCTATATAACTCATTATGCTGGTTAGATAACAGAATTTTCTATTCATATTACTTCTATATAACTCATTATGCTGGTTAGATAACAGAATTTTCTATTCATATTACTCTGAACTCTATATAACTCACATGCTGGTAAGATAACAGAATTTTCTATTCATATTACTTCTATATAATTCATTATGCTGGTTAGATAACAGAATTTTCTATTTATATTACTCTGAACTCTATATAACTCACGTGCTGGTAAGATAACAGAATTTTCTATTCATATTACTCTGAACTCTATATAACTCATTATACTGGTTAGATAACAGAATTTTCTATTCATAGTAATTCTATATAACTCATTATGCTGGTAAGCTAACAGAATTTTCTATTTATATTACTCTGAACTCTATAAGACTCACATGCTGCTCAGATATCAGAATTTTCTATTCATATTACTCTGAACTCTATATAATTCATTATGCTGGTAAGATAACAGAATTTTCTGTTGATATTACTCTGAACTCTATATATTGCATGCTGATAAGATAACAGAATTTTCTGATTGATAATACTATGAACTCTATATATTGCATGCTGGTAATATGACAGAGGTCTAAATTCATATTACTCTGAAATCTTTTGTGAGGTACCAAATGATAAAATCTTCAAGACTAACATTTCTTATCCTTAATTGTTTTGGACCAAGTATCAATCACAATTGTCAAATGCAGATGTCCTTATCAACACTGCATTTTGGTTAAAAAACAAAAAAGAAGTGTTAGTTCAGACAGATCAATCATTGACGTAATCCTATCAGTTAAAGTGCTAGATAGATGATTGAAAATAATATTGTTTACAGTTAATTTGTATACATTTTTAAAAAAATTGAAATCTTTATATATATAGTAGGCTTATATGTATATGTTTAATTGTAGCAATACCAAGTATCAATAGCAGTGATCAATTAGAAGCTGACAGATTAGGTCTATCATGGATTGATGTAATAGACAGTAAAGCTAAAATTGTCAACTCAAATCAGGTAACTTTTAAAATGGTCCCTAAAAAAAAATGAAGCCGATTCTATATTCTTGAATTAAAGAAAAGGAAAAAATTCCTGAGCAATGGTTATCTCCATGAAGCAGAAC